GATTGCTATTTGCAATACATGGACTACAACTTTTGTCCAATTCGAAAGTACACTGCAGAAGCCTCTTCTGCTCATTAAGGCTGCATTTATTTGACCAAAAATGCAGAAAAAACTGTAATATTGTGAAATATTATTACCATTTAAAATAATGGTTTACTATTTGAATATACTTTAAAATGCAATTTATTCTTTTGATGCAAAGCTGTATTTTCAGCATCATTACTCCAGTCTTCAGTGTCACATGATCTTCAGAAATCAGTATAATATGCTGATTTATTATCAGTGTTGGAAACTGTTGTGCTGCTTAATATTTATTTATTTATTTGGATCCCGTGATACTTTTTTTTTTAAAGATTCTTTGATGAAAGAAAAAAAAAATTTAATAGAAATTTTCTAACAAAATAAGTCTTTATTATCACTTTTTATCAGTTTAACACATCCTTGCTGAATAAAAGCATTTCTTTAAAAATAAATAATAATTCTGAATGAACGGTAGTGTATATTGTTACAGAAGATATCTATTTTGAATAAATGCTCTTCTTTTTAACTTTTTATTCATCAAAGAATCCTGAAAAAAGTATCACAGGTTCCAAAAAAATATTAAGCAGCAAAACTATTCCCAGTATTGATAATAAATCAGCATATTATACTGATTTCTGAAGATCATGTGACACTGAAGACTGGAGGAATGATGCTGAAAATTCAGCTTTGCATCACAGAAATAAATTACATTTTAAAATATATTAAAATAGAAAACCATTATTTTCAATTGCAATAATATTTCACAATATTACTGTTTTTTCTGTATGTTTGATCAAATAAATGCAGCCTTGATGAGCAGAAGAGACTTCTTAAGAAACATTACAAATCTTACTGATCCCAAACTTTTGAACGGAAGTGTATGTAGTTGTATTCCTTATTTAGCAGCTTATTTATCAAACTCAAATTCATGTTTGAGTTATGACTAATGCCTGTGTTATTAGTGTAGCCTACTAAGTTAGTCTTCAAGTAGCCTAATGATAACCACAGATCTTATTTTATTTATATCCAAAACCTCTATTTTAAAAATCCTGAGGGAACACCAATGGCTTGAATAAATTTGATTAATAATAATAATAATAAATGAATCCAATTGGTCTCAGACTTTACATATATATTACTTTTTTTTTTATTGAATTGTAAAAGCGTTTCAAAAAGTATGTAATGGACCAGAGAGTGTGTGTGTTGACCAGAGACTTCACGTAGTTGATATCAATTGAAGAGGAATCTCCCCATTCACTTAATTTTTCTTCTTTCATTTGAATAAATCCAATTTTCATGTGTCCAGCCAAACGTCCTCTGATTGGTCCATCCCCTTAAACACACGCCTCTGATTGGCCGGATGTTCCCATGCAGATTTTTTCCCTTTGAGAATGCGCTTAGTGAATGGCCGCGCGTCGTAACAGCGTCCGGTGAATCTGATTGGTCGAAATCGTCGGGGCGTTTCATTCTGATTGGTTGACGACCGATGCCCGGTGTCCGGGTAAGATGGCGTCGGAAGAGCAGTGCTCGGCACCACCTCGATGGCGGTCGATATCCTTAACCCACGTAGAGTATCCGGCTGGTAAGAACATTTTTAAATCGTTGTTTCCCCCGCAAAGCCGTTCGTATCATCACACGACACTTTATTCGCGCCGCGGCGTCTGTGGAACATCGCGTAGCTGAATGGACGCGGCCAGGGCTGGGTTGCCAAATAGTGCGCTTCACTCCGCAGGGAACGGAACGCCTGCTGCCAAATAGTGCGCTGGTAGTCCTGTACGCTCCCTAGCACACCACACCGCGAGACCCTTATTCAGTTTCTCTCTGTATTATTAAAACGTTAATCTAATTCAAGCATGATTCGACAAGCCTGTGACCAATACTAGCATTATATGCATGTGATAGCGTCTAATACAGGCACATGAGACCCAACTGCTCCTGTAAGTTTCAGGCAAGACTCGTGGCTCTGGTGGGTTATTCCAGTTCATTCCCGGTTGCATCACACTCTTTCTGGGTCCTGTCGTTCGTGAGGGTCCCCCTGGATTTGGAAGTATATCAAAACCCTGGAACATGTCAAAGCAAGTCTAAAATACACTGCGCTTATGCCAAACACAGAAACGCTACAATCAAGAACATCTTCCGTGTTTAAACTACTGTCACATAACGTTAGTTGGATGTGTTTGCATGCATGGTGCATGAGGTGGTAAAACATGCCAGTACACAAGATAAAGCAAGCCTGTATGTGCAGTTTGGCAAATGCAATGCTGGCTTGACATGCAATCAATATTTCTCATATGCATATATGAGAAATGGTTCTCTATTGGTTGTGAAGTGGCCCACTTTTAGTGCTCTATGCTCAGGGGAAGGTTTTTAATACAATCCGAGAGTGTTCTTCTGAATTCTCTGCCATGGATAGTTCATTACTAATTCCTGCACTTTCTCTGATAGCTTATTTATCAAACTCAAATTCATGTTTGAGTTATGACTAATGCCTGTGTTATTAGTGTAGCCTACTAAGTTAGTCTTCAAGTAGCCTAATGATAACCACAGATCTTATTTTATTTATATCCAAAACCTCTATTTTAAAAATCCTGAGGGAACACCAATGGCTTGAATAAATTTGATTAATAATAATAATAATAAATTAATCCAATTGGTCTCAGACTTTACATATATATTACTTTTTTTTTTATTGAATTGTAAAAGCGTTTCAAAAAGTATGTAATGGACCAGAGAGTGTGTGTGTTGACCAGAGACTTCACGTAGTTGATATCAATTGAAGAGGAATCTCCCCATTCACTTAATTTTTCTTCTTTCATTTGAATAAATCCAATTTTCATGTGTCCAGCCAAACGTCCTCTGATTGGTCCATCCCCTTAAACACACGCCTCTGATTGGCCGGATGTTCCCATGCAGATTTTTTCCCTTTGAGAATGCGCTTAGTGAATGGGCGCGCGTCGTAACAGCGTCCGGTGAATCTGATTGGTCGAAATCGTCGGGGCGTTTCATTCTGATTGGTTGACGACCGATGCCCGGTGTCCGGGTAAGATGGCGTCGGAAGAGCAGTGCTCGGCACCACCTCGATGGCGGTCGATATCCTTAACCCACGTAGAGTATCCGGCTGGTAAGAACATTTTTAAATCGTTGTTTCCCCCGCAAAGCCGTTCGTATCATCACACGACACTTTATTCGCGCCGCGGCGTCTGTGGAACATCGCGTAGCTGAATGGACGCGGCCAGGGCTGGGTTGCCAAATAGT